CGCTCCGTCCCCGCGCCGGCGGGGAGCCGCGGGGGCTGAGGGTCCCCGGCCGGCTTCTGCCCTCCGCCGCCAGCCCGGCCGAAATGCGACCCCCGGGAGCTGGAGCGGCGCGTTGGGCACCGGGCATGCTCTGCGCGGCGGCTGTAAATTTACTTGCTCGGGGGTTGTTTGTAAATGTATCTGTGGAAATCACTTAAGGAACGCGGCCAGAGTCCCGCACTGCGAAAGGGCTTTCAGTTATCCAAACTGTATTTTTATTTTTCCCCTCCAGAATATTCAAACCTGGTTTTCATGCTGAGTTGTCATAAGAAAGATGATGATGCTTTTTTTAGACCTGAAATAAACGTTTATAATAAATGTCACTGTGTAACACTGACAAGCGTCAAGCGCCACTTGAAATCTTCCCTCAGAGCCTGAAGGCAAAGGCAGAAGCCAACACCTCTCCGTACCAAAAACCAGCACCCCGCGGGTGCTTTTCCACACGGGGCTGAATGGGCAGTGCCAAGCGTTCCAACCACACCAAGATGCCACCAGTGGAAAGAAGGACCTGTTGGAGCGGGTCCAGAGGAGGGCCAGGAAGATAATCAGAGGGCTGGAGCACCTCTCCTGCAAGAACAGGCTGAGAGAGTTGGGGTCGGAGAGAAGGCTCCGGGGAGATCTTATAGCAGCCTTACAGTACCTGGAAGGCACCTTCAAAAAAGCTGGAGATGGACTTTTTACAAAGGCATGTAGTGACAGGATGAGGGGTAATAGCTTCAAACTAGAAGAGGGTAGATTTAGATTAGATATTAGGAAGAATTCTGTATTGAGGGAGTGGTGAGACACTGGCACAGGATGGCCGGAGAAGTCGTGGATGCCCCATCCCTGGAAGCGTTCAAGGCCAGGCTGGATGGGGCTTTGGGCAACCTGGTCTAGTGGAAGGTGTCCCTGTCCATGGCAGGGGGTTGGAACTAGGTGATCTGTATGGTCCTTACCAAACTAAACCATGCTATGATTTACAAAAAAACAGCGCTCTTCCATGAGAGCTGGGTACAGCACCCTCAGCCTGCCGGCAGCAGCGACGGGAGCATCCTCACGGCAACGTGGAGGATTCCTGGGTTCGTTCCACACTTCGGCTAATTAACTCCACAGTCGGGGTGAGGGAGGGCTTATAGAAATCACCAGGCATCCCCGGACCCTCCCCGACACCTACGCGCTCCATTGGAGACCCCGGGGCGGAGCGGGGCGAGGCACCGCCTTCCCCCGGCCACCGCCGCCTCCTCCTCCTCCTCCTCCTCTTCCTCCTCTTCCGATATGGCGGCCACAGCGGAGCTCAGCGGTCTGAGTGACGAGGCGGCCTATGGTGCCTGCTCGGAGCCGGATGCCAGCACGAAGGTGGGGTGGATGGGGGTGACGAGGTCGCCCCGGGGGCTGCAGGCGGGCTTTGGCCCACCCTCGGTTTGCCGGGCGGACGTGCGGCGGGTGGGAGGCGGTACGGGGCCGAGGAAGGGTTCCGGAGACCGCTCGCGGGGAGCCGTGCCGGCGCTCGGGGGGCGCTCTTGGTGGCGAGACCAGTTCGGGGTCGGGCGACCCGGCTCGGTTTCACCATCGTGGTGAAGGGCGGATCTGCCGGGCCGGTGGGTTGCGAGCCCCGGTGCCATCCCGCCGGGTGGCCAGGCCGGCCGCGGCGCGCTCGGCCCGGAGGGCGCCTTTGCCGGTGCTCGGGGCCGCGGTGGAGCCGGGGCTGAAGGCAGACAGCGCCCGCGCTGCCCTCCGCAACCCGGCCTCCGGGGGCTCTCCGGACAGCTCATGCCAGGGCCGCGAAAACAATCCCCCAAAATACCCCAAACGATTTTATTTTTTTATTAGAACCTTGTAATTGCACTTCGATTTTTCTACATTTCTCTTTTTTTTTTTTTTTCTTTTCTTTTAATACGCCTGTGAAGCCTATCCCGTCATTCACATTTCATCCGCTTAGTTGTTCGTAGCCCTTGGTGTATAAAGTTACCCGCTGGATTGAGAAAAATCGCCTTGCAGAATTGCATGCCAGTTTTGCTGCCACGACATCATCAAGCTTGAGAGAAATTCAACACCTGTGCAATGAAATAATAAAAATAATGAGTTCAGGAAAATAAAATAATGAGTTCAGGAATCTAGCTTTATTTAAATTCTGTGTCTGCAGTAACGTCCAAATAATCATGTTCCTAGTGTGCTTGGATGCAAAGTGGTTTATGTGCAGTACAGCTCCATAAAATAATAATGAAGATAAGAGTGATACCCCCTTTTGATACCACTGATAATATATATTGAGTGATACCACTGGTCGTTTTGTTTATTTGTTTTAGACATTGTGTTACAAAGGCGTATTTATTTAACACAAATCTGTATGTGTAGGATCAGGACAAGAGGTTTTATTTACACTTACTGTAGTACTCTGTTTGTTTCTTCTAAACCTGCTAGTTTTAGATTAATACTAACTAGCATCTTTGCTAACACCCATAATCAATTTCTTGTTGATGTTTTTTTTCCCCCCACAGGATTTTATGTTTCAGCAGACAATGCTAAGAGTGAAGGATCCTAAGAAGTCATTGGATTTTTATACAAGAGTTCTTGGAATGACGTGAGTAGAAGTTGTATGCTACAATAATTTTGGTTTTTTCTGCTATTCTTCTGAAAAGAAAAGTTTTTGTTCTTTTGATGTAATTATACTAATTGGTCTAAGTATATAAACAATGTTGGCCCATCAGCTGATGCCCAGCTGGACAGTCTGGCAACATCTGAGAACTCCCAAAGCACAGTTAATGCCTAAGCTGCAAATGAAACAATATTGGCCTTGACTAGAAATTTCTTTTTTTCTTAAATAGGTCACTAATTATCAGTGTACAACTTGTTTATTTCCTCCTCACTGAGCCTTTAGCTATCTGGTAACTTTCATGACAGTGCTTATAATCAGGAGTCATTGCTATAAATCTTTCTACTAATTCTCGGATGTGGCTTATGACCACTTCTGCTCATAAGAGAACAAGGCTGGAAGTGGGGTTCAAACCCATTCTTTTGGAGAAGGCTGTTGAGAGGCAGATGCCCTGCAGTAGCCTAACATATTTATGCTAAGGCTCTTTGCACGTTCTTGACATTTGAAATAACTCATTTCAAAATAAAATTCTAGCATAGTTTTAAACATCTTGAAATAAGTCCGAACTGTGGTAAAATAAAGTATTTCCACTTTAGTGAACATGTGGGTGTCAGAAATTTTGAAATAAATACTTAGTAAGATGAAAAAAAAATTAGATTTGCTTTGCATGCCTACTTTTTCTGGTGAAATGTCGTACATAAAAATGATTTGAAGTATGCCACACCATCTCTTGAAAGGAGGTGTAAGTAGAGATGTATCAAATATTTCACAGAAAAGTGGGTGACTTCTTGCATCTAGCAAAGGGATACATATTATAAGGAACTTTTCCTGACCTCAAGTATTGTTTAATTGATTAAATTGAGACATTTGAAATGGATTTTATCATTATACTTAGCTATTGAAATTGTAAAAATATTTCATGAAAAGGTATGTTTGTTTTTCAGTCCTGATGTATTCTTAAGCTTTGTCTGGTTCCAGTGAGCTCTCCAGAACAAAGTAAAGTTTCAAAGCAAATCTTTTTATTCTTTGGTGATATTTTAAGGTGGATAAAGATCTTCCTGAGGAAGTACAGCCAAGTAACAGAGTGACAACCTCAAGATGCAAGCCTTTGTACTGGCTTTGCTATTCAGTTACTTGATAGTTCAGCTTTAAAATATTGATTCTTCTAATTTTTGTAAGTTTGTAATAAGTTCTGGAATGTTTCAATTTGATAGTTCAAAATGTAAGTGTTTTAAGATGTGGGTTACAGTCAGAAAGGCAAAAAAAATCACAGCAATAATTCTTCTATGGGGGAAGCATCTTAGTTTATTTGCAAGCTACCTGATTGTCCTTTAAAGTTACTATTTTGAAATAATTGTTGCCATTTAGACTGCTTCAAAAATTTGACTTTCCTACCATGAAGTTCTCACTCTACTTCCTGGCATATGAAGATAAAAATGATATCCCAAAAGATAAAGCAGAGAGAACACCTTGGACCTTCTCTAGAAAAGCTACGCTTGAACTGACACAGTAAGTATTAACATAATGAGAGATGATAGTTAGCTAACAGTGATTAAACACAAGTGTATGAGTGTAAATCCTGTTGGATTGAATAAAAAATGTAATCATTACTGTGGAAACATCTTCACTGTCTTGCAGCCTTAAAATATGTTTGAGATCTTGGATACTTGGCAAGCTTAATCATTCTTTTTAGAGCTTTTCCAAACTGCTAGGTGAACAGTGGTACATAAATAAAAAATAATGCTTGCTGTATTTTGAGTATGCATGCCATCTGGGTAGGGAAGCCACAGAATTTAGAAAGACTCAGTGTGATTAGAATTTTATTTGGATCCCCAAAGCATCCTAATAATGGATAGCTATTACTTTTGCAATCTAATCAGAGGAGGTATTAAGTCAAAACATACACTTCCTGTAAACAAGACAATTTGGTTAATACTACTAATCATTGTAATTGTGCAGAAAGAATGTCCAAAAAACCCCTCAGTGTTCCCCAGTGATGGGTAGATAAACTCTCCAATGCAGTGCAACCTTCTTTCTAATCTGAATGAGACAAGAGTGTCTCTGATTTATTCAGATGTAGAACCTGAATACTAGTGAAGGGCTGTGAACTTGACTGGATTAGCCCCAAGACTATCCCTAGGACCTGTGACTACGGAAAAGCTTGATAGCTTAGTAAATGCAGCCACAGCTGAAATTCTTTGGTTTCTTAGGAGAAACAACTTACCTTCCTCAGGAAACTCAGCATTTAGGATTTGTTAATTTTGATGCTTTTCTTCAATATGTAATAATTATTTCTTACAGCAACTGGGGCACTGAAAATGATGATAATCAGTCTTACCACAATGGCAATTCAGATCCCCGAGGATTTGGTAGGTCTTTAGTTTTGTGTCTGCAGTTTTTAAGCTTTGGTTTATTGTGATTACATTTTTTTCTCTTGTGTATTGGGGAAAAACAGTGTTTCAAGTGTTTTTTAGAAAACAACAGTGTAAATTCTGTGCAAAGGTTATTGGCTAAGTATGTGCTGTAGGCTTTATTTTTATGAGGACTAATAGAGAAAATATTTTAAACTTATATGGATCAATGTACTACCACTAGGAAAGAAGGGGAGTTGCATCTCATGCTTTACCTCTCTTCTTCCAGCATGTAATGCTGTGAAAGATCATGAAAATAGATCAACAAATGTGTTTCAGAGTAATGAGCCATGGTTAGAATTTCTATAAAGAATTTAATCCTTTGGCAAGCAAACACATGCTAATAGTAGCTACTGAATGAAGAACAGTAATTGCTGTTGTGTATCAGATTATCATGGTGTTCAGGCTGATTTACATTTGGATTTCTGTTTTATAATCCACTGTTTACTCATTTTAAGCTAGAACAGGGAATTCTGTTTGTAGCGTTGAGTAGAGTGTGTGGCTTGATTTGATATTTTGAGTGCTTGAAAGGTCACTGGCTTGTAAAATAAGTTTCCTACTCGGTGTAGCCCCTTGACATTTAAAGCTTCTGAATTGATTTGTAAGCTCAGGCCTTGCATAGTGCTAGTCTCTACAAATAGACCATTAATGACAAACTCTGTGTACTGTTGAACTGAGCAAATGCAACAAAATGCTGTTATGTGGACATGCTTCAAGAAAGGAAATACAGATAAAACAGTTACTTCTTCCTATTCTAGATAATATTCTCATCTAAACAATATGAGATATTTTAAGTCTAGAGTTCCTATTTTAAAAGGTATTATCAAAAAGCCGACTTTCTGAAGGAGACTAATGTTAATACCCAAAGTGCGTGTCTTTCTGGAAGCAGTGTTTTTCTTGTATAGAATCATATCTTCTGTGAACTACAGCATGTAAACATTTTGCACAAGATGAAATGCTGAGCAAACCTTTTCCTAGAACACTCAGCAATACTTACAGTGTACTTCGTTCTTTTTACTTTGTTGCACAGGCCACATTGGAATTGCTGTCCCTGATGTCTATAAAGCTTGTAAGAGGTTTGAAGAACTAGGAGTGAAATTTGTGAAGAAACCAGATGATGGTAAGTCTTGATCAGAAATGCAAGTTAATTTTCTTCCTTGTTTTTAATATATTCTGCCTAGTAGATCTACCTATAAAGCAGGATAATATATTTCTAGTAGTTGTCACTGCTTAGAAGTTACCTGTATGCTCTCTTACACAGTGGGCAAAATTAACAATAGATCCATCTCAGTAATAATAGCCAATCAGTCTAGCTACATGCATTCTGTATGTAGTCTGATCCTCACTAAAATTCACGTGCTCTGTTGATGTCATAGTTTACTATGTATACTACTGCCTAGAGTTATCGCAGAATTTACTTTAACATGGATCAAATTCCAACATTTCATATTTGTTTGGTTCTTATCATATGAGAATAAGATGACTCAGAAGACATAATTACTTCCACCTATTAAAATGGAGTAATTAACTTTTCTGGCAATTTTTATTTAAATCCACTAATGACACCTGCTAGCTATTATAATTTTAACTGTTCTGTCAGGTCTGGTAGAAATAGCCTCATTAGTCTCTGTCATATTTGACTTTATAACTTTTAGTAAAAAAATGCACAATGTATAGCTCAAGTGTCTAGAGAATACACGGACAAAGAACGTCTATGTAAAATAGCCTAAAATGCAGAAGTCAGTGGTGAGAAGTTTTGCATTTTTCAACTGGATTCTCTTTCATGAAGAGACCTCATGAGAATTCTAGGACAGATGCATTTCAAAATGGACATCTAATACTCAGCAGCATGCACAAATCTGTGATACTTCTTCTTCTGGCTATAGAAGGCAGACTGTTGCCTGTACTAACAGTGGGTTTTGTTTTATTTAGTTTGAAAGTAACATTAACACATGAAGCTTCAGTTGACACACATTGCAGTTGAGCTTCTAGATTCCTTGCTAGAGGAATAAGAACAAGAAATTGAAAAGAGACTTAAGTGAATTTAGAGGATGAACACTTGCAGGGGCATATGCAGAAAACTTATTTCAATTGACAAAAGATAATTTCAAAGTGATTTTAAACTACAGCTTTTTTGAGAGCAAGGTTCACAATTTATCATACAAAGATTGAAGCTGATTAAAAACTAATCTGGGTGTTTCAGGATTAGTTCTCTAAATTTGAACTAATTGTCATGCAAAAGGTAGAAAGAGGAAAACTACTTCTCAAAGTAGTCATATTTGACATTAAGAACTAGTCACGTAGTCCTAACTTTTTTTTTTGTCCTAATAGGTAAAATGAAAGGACTTGCGTTTGTTCAGGATCCTGATGGCTACTGGATTGAAATTTTGAATCCTAACCACATGGTGACTCTCACTTAGTTCTAATGAAGTAAATTATATAGGAAATGCACACTTTCAGGCCTCTAAAGAAGATCTGTAACAGCGTTAGTGAAATTCTCGCTTAATAGAGAGTAATCAGTCATGTTCAGAGTTTCCTCTAAAACTATCCCCTGGGACCTCAGTGTACTTGAATTCCTTTTTGTTGTCCTGTGATGCTACTACAATTTGCTTCTGATTAGGAATACTCAACCATCTTTTGGAAGAGCATGTACACAGATTCTCCTCTAGAACACTGATTACGTTAATATTTCAATAAACACTCTCAAAAGATATGTGACCAGAAATTCACTGCATCTCACACTGTTTAGATTAAAACTAACAAGAACAACAACAACAAAATCCTGTGTTACTAGTGATGATTTTCAACAGGGATGAAAAAAAACTTTTTTTATGAAGTCAAAGGATCCTAAGGGCTTCATGCTCTATCTTATATACTAGAAAATAAAATGTCAGACTAACTTTGAGTTGAGTAGTAGCATGTTTATGAAAGTCCTCATGCTATGCCAAGCAAAACTCTTTAAGCCTTAAACAGCCTGGAACAAGAAACTTTGTGGAGGCAATAAATCAGTGCAGCAGAAAGAATTCAGTCTTTCAGCTTCTGGCTGCTGAATGACAGCCAAGATAAGAGGTCTCATAGTTGCTAACTCACAGTGATCCTTCTTGTCTCTTCCAACACTAGAAAGAACTTGCTTATAATTTTTCTGTCAAGGAAAGTCTGGGGCTATATTTAACTTAAATGCTCTGTATGTTCTGCTGCATTAGGAATTTAATGAAAAAGAGTATTTGAAACAACAGCTTCCTACTAGTAGATGTTTTGATTTGCCCTCTCAGAATGAGTGATGGTTATTGAAATGATACCTGTAAATAGCAGGAAAACATGTAACATTTACATATGTTACATATTTGATTTTTATGCTGTTCCACCTGTTGTAAGTGGTGCAAAACATGTCAGGTTTTTAAACCCTGTTTTTCCTTCCAACAAGGAGAAAACCCTCTGCCCTTTCTGTGGTTCAAGTAGCACTAAACTGAAGACTTAGTAGGAGTTAGGTGACTATCGGATAGTGTAATAGCATTGCAGTTTGTTTCCAAATAAAGCATTGGTGCAAACTACAAAATAATTTTAAAGCAGTATGATCTGTTCCTTTGCTAATTGTTGAATCCTAGGATTACTGAGAAGAAATATGGTGATAAAAGATAGAATAGGAATTGGGAGTACAGTACTGAAGAAGAGAACTGGCTTGATTAGCAGGATGTTATAGTAACTTAATGTGCAGAGTTAATAATAACTGCCAATAACTCTGTCTTATAAGTTAAAACAGAAATGTAGGCAGTATTGCATTGGATCTTACTACACTAATGTAGATGTTAATGACTTAAATGCTAAGTGTTACTCTCCTATCTCCTTATCTGAAAAATCCTTAATTTTGTTTGCCTCATCTTAAGAAGATAGCATATATAAACTCAGTAATTTTACAGCACTCCACATGAACAACCGTTCATTTAACTTAATCCAAGATACTTTGTTTACCCTTGAAGCATATAATCTATTTTACTAATTTCCATCTAAGCCTTAGGCATTGGAGAAAGGATTGTGATAACTATTGCACTGCTTAATACCCCCTACAGATGTGCAAGCAATCATAAATTCATTGGAAGGTAGACATAATAACTTAAAAGATAACTTTTTCTTCAATTTTTTGTTATATGACGCAACCCTGATATTTTTAATTGTCATTTTTATGACATTTTCTGGCTGTTCTCTACAGTATCTACCAATGCTGTACTTTAGGTGGTGCCTTATGAGCATCATTCATATAGAAGATTCTTTCCATTCTTGAATATTTGCCAAGTTACCTTTTTTTTTTTTCCTGCAACAATAAACACTTGGTTCGTGGTTGTGTTCTTTATTTCTGCCCTCCTATACTTGCAGAACTAATGCCTACCCTGTTCCCTGTCTCATTCCTTGCAGTTGGTGATTCTCCTGTACGTTACGTCCTTTTGATAGTGACAATATAGTTACTACTGTTTGGTGTGAGACCTCCTGGGTAAGGGAGCTGTCTTAATAGCTGTCACCACACGATCTCAGTGTCATCTTCCTTCCAGATGTTGGGCTTCTGACATTGCACCCCAAGCAGGCTAATACAGCTTTTTAAAGTGGCAAAGATTTTCTTGCATGCTGGGTTATTTTTATACCAAGTTTCTTAAGCAGAAAGCAGGAACCAGTTTCCCAAATGAATAAATAAAGTTGTTCCTTTTAGCACGAAGTTAGGCTGTCACAGCTGACTCTTGAAACCTCCTCTTCCTTTGAAAGAAGGTAACAGTATTGCAGAATACCTTCCAGCAGCAATTAAGAGAACTCTTAGTTTGAAGAATGTTGTAGTGTAACTTTAGTATGCTATCTTCCAAAGTTAGTAGGATGAGAATAGCATCAAGAAGCATGAGAGCTACCGCGATAAGACAAAGCACTCAGTTGATTGCAGGTCACATAGGTTTTGATGGCTAAACTGTATTTTTCATATGCATCCCTTCTGCTGCTCCTGTTCTGAAATAGGAACGTAAAATGAAGTAAAACCCAACTGAAGTGCAGTTCCTTACCATTCAAAATCTCACATTAAATTGTGAGTAGAAAAATTATTTAGACTAATAGTAGTGTAAGTGAAGTTGTAAAAAAACCTAAATTTTATTTCAGTCAATACAGATATATCATCTAAAGCCTTATGACCAATTTTACAACCATGGAACTTGGTGGTTCATATTTTATCAGCATACAGTGTTCCATTTAGACTTGTTTCACTACACTTCAAAGTACAGGTGTGACTGGAAAACCTACTGACCCAATTATGTGGAATCCAGTAATTAAAACCGGGATAGTTCATAAATCAGATGAGTAAGGCAAAGGGTGTGCTCAGGTAGTTCAGTGGTAACTACACAAGGAGGAGCAGGCTATGTCAAAGTTCTCTGCTTAGTACACAAATAAAAGTTACTCTAAGCGTGTCTGCTAATCTCGGGGTGACCCTTGGGTTTTTTATGTGCTTGATGAAGTGTAGACAGTGGGATAGATGATGAGGTAATAGGAAAATAGTAGAAACACTGCCATCTACAAAGTAGTTAGAACAATATCATGAAGTGGGCAAGGTGTGTTGAAAAAAGGTAACTGCTGCTTGCCATACTGAGAACTAATGACACCCAGTATTCTCAGTTATGAAATCCAAGAATAAGCTATTAAAGACAAACATTTAATGATTCTTTTAGCCTGCAAAAGATGTTACAGATTTTAGTTGTAAAAGCTTTTGAAATTATTCGATGTTTACAGATAATGTTATTTTTACTTTTTCCAAGGTTAACATTTCTGCTAAATAAAGCACGGAATTAAATAGCATGTAGCACTGTGCCACTTGGAGGGCCTCAGTTGAGTTTAATGCAGAAATTCAGCCACCAGCCGTGTGAGCAGGTCCCCGCAATCCGTGCGGACGGGACGGGACGGGAGGCAGCGTACCCCTGCGCTTCCCGGTCTCTCACCAGTCCCCCCGTATTCCGCTCTCCCGGGAGACCGGTAAGAGCACCGTTACTCTTAAAACAAAGGAATCGTGTATTTTGGGTGTCGCCGAGCGCCAGCGGATACGAAGGGGAAGGTTAAACATCAGTTGCTGTTTCATAAGGGCCGGGCGTCTGAACGTCCCTGGCGTCCGAGCGAGTCTCCGGTTCCCGACTAACGCTGCCACCCGCTGACAGGCGGGCGCAGCCACGAAGGACCCAGACAGCCCTCCCTACCTGGGACGCCGCTACTCCAACTCCAACTCCTAGAGCGGCTCTACCGGCACTGCCGCCGCCCCGGCCTCTCCCGCCTCACCGAGCGCGGTGCCGGCGGGCCCCCCGGCCTTCCCCCCGCCCCTGAGCGGGGGGCGCGGGAGCACGACTGGCTGCGGAGCTGGCTGCGGAGCTGCCCGCGGCTGCCGCGGGGCCAAGCCCCGAGCGCTCCTCCACCGGCGGGTGCCGCTCTGCCTCCGGCCGCCCCCGCTCCGTGGCCGGAAGAGGAAGCCCGGCCCCGGGCGAACGGAACTACGGAGGCCGAAGCAAGCACAGAGCCGCTTCCGAAGGTGCTCGCCTGCGTCAGCGCGCAGGAGGACGGCTGACTGTTGCTAAGTGGCGTCACCGCGCTTCCCCTGCCTTCCCCTGCCTTCCCCTGCCTTCCCCTGCCTTCCCCTGCCTTCCCCTGCCTTCCCCTGCCTTCCCCTGCCTTCCCCTGCCTTCCCCTGCCTTCCCCTGCCTTCCCCTGCCTTCCCCTGCCTTCCCCTGCCTTCCCCTGCCTTCCCCTGCCTTCCCCTGCCTTCCCCTGCCTTCCCCTGCCTTCCCCTGCCTTCCCCTGCCTTCCCCTGCCTTCCCCTGCCTTCCCCTGCCTTCCCCTGCCTTCCCCTGCCTTCCCCTGCCTTCCCCTGCCTTCCCCTGCCTTCCCCTGCCTTCCCCTGCCTTCCCCTGCCTTCCCCTGCCTTCCCCTGCCTTCCCCTGCCTTCCCCTGCCTTCCCCTGCCTTCCCCTGCCTTCCCCTGCCTTCCCCTGCCTTCCCCTGCCTTCCCCTGCCTTCCCCTGCCTTCCCCTGCCTTCCCCTGCCTTCCCCTGCCTTCCCCTGCCTTCCCCTGCCTTCCCCTGCCTTCCCCTGCCTTCCCCTGCCTTCCCCTGCCTTCCCCTTTGCAAGACCCTGTTGTGGCCTTTATGGAAGGTCAGTGTTCTGACACTTTGATAGGACATACAATATTTTCGCAGGTTCTCCTGGGGTCTTAGTACTGAACTCGTAAGTTGCGCACTGCTGTGATTAATTTAAGTTGCCTTTTGACTTAGAGGAAGCTGTCCTATTATCAGGCTCTTAAAAAAGCCAACTTGATGTTAACTTTTTAGCAATCTGCCTGTGGTCTTGCTCACTCAGCAACACTCTGTGTTTGCGTTATTTTTAAAGCAGAGCACACGGACCTCTCCCAAAGCTCTGTGCTGGGATCACTTAATCTTTTTTCGTGCTTTAAGATTTAATTTGAGCCTGCTCACAGTGCAGGTGTGTTTGACATATCTTCTGTTACAAATCTGTAAATCAGATGCTTGACGAATGCTGTTCTCTTGTGGTCTATTCACTTAACATTTATTTAAAAAGACCATCACAAACATTTTCGTAAATTTCGAACTTTTGAGTACATTTTGATAATACACGTCAATTTCATAATGTAAGGTACCTGTGGGAATAAATATTTACATATTACATGTCAGTTTCCAAAACCAGGAGATCTTCCTTGTCAAACACCTGTTTTCAATTTGCTGGTTAAGGTGTGGTTACTTTCCATTTCATGAGACTACCTGAAAATATTTTTTCTTCCTATTCCTCCCTTGCCTCCTTAAACATACACTTTAATGAAGATTAGAGTGTCTCTTATGAGAGAATTCATAGATCAAGGTATCATCTGTTTAGCAAATTAAATACAGTTTATTTTTCATGCTGGCAGGTATGATGGGAAGAATAACAATAATTTATACTTGTAGAGAGAGACTCATTATGTTGGTTATGTATTTAAACAAATAAAACCTTTATATTTTTGTATTTCCTCACCCTACAGTTTTGTTTTGTTTTCCTGTTTGTAAAATTAAAGGCTTGCACAGGAGAAAGATCTGCAACTGCCTGAAGTATTGCAAAAAAACCAGCCACCAAAGCCCAAACAAAACGCCTAAAACCTTTAGCTGGCAAGAACACTTAGGGAACTTTGTATGTATCGGGAATAAAATGTGTGTGATACAGTTTGTATAGGCCTGGTTTAATTAGGACATCTCGGGACATCAATACTGTATCAAGAATGTCAGGATGAAATTTTTTGTAGCCTATAATGAACGAGTGAATGGCAGTATGTTACCATCTTTTTTGATGGTTAAAAAAATGAATAATCAAAATTAAATGATGATGGCTCAAAAAAAAGAAATTCTAATGTTATGTTCTAATGTTATTAGAAATTTTCCTATCGAATGGAGGGATTTTTTAAAAATTTATTTCCACAAAAAATTTAACTGAGAAAGATGCATCCCACTCACTTTTGCCATAGGTTACGTGCGTCTGTTTCTGATGGTGTATATTTCATGCATTGTTTCAGGAAATGGTACAGTTGTTGCTGTGCAGCTGGATGTTGTTGAATAGCGTTTTTATGAACCTGCCGTTCAATCTGTCAGTTGTTCAGAATGGCAAAGAACCCTAACTTTCAGGAAGTTGGTCATCTGCCTACAGGCTACGTCCACTGTGGATCTTCAGACAGCTTTACTGGTGAGCGGACCAATGTATTTTCTTGAGATTTTATCTTAAGGGTTTAGTTGTATGCCATTTTAACCAGGTTATATCAAGTGCATTAATACCTATTTTATATGTGTGTTAATAAATAATCTGTGCTTACTATATTGTTCTTTGTATGTAGCTAAATTTATTCCTGCTCTTTGGTCAGTGGAATATGTCTCTGAGCAGAACATAAAACTTTAGCACTGCACCACTTAAATAGGGAGAATGTGCTTGCAGATGAGCAGTGCGTAACTTTCTATATGCTTTGAGTCAAAACATTTTTGTTCTGATTGTTTTTTAGAATGCTGTGGTTATTTTAGAATGGTGTGGTTATTTACCATTAATGAGAGTTAACGTTTCTTTTTCATCCTTTCACAACAGAAGGGTTGGAGATGAGACTTGAAAGTTCTGTGAATTTAATTTACGTGATCTTTCACATTCTGTGTCTGTAAATTCATACTGCACTGATTACATTGTTGTTATTGGATACTAAGTATTAGCACGTATTTTTTTTCCTTTTCTGTTATAATTTTCACTCATAGTCAGTTTTGTTATTGTTAGAAGTACAAAGGAGTTTCTGTAGGGAGCATTCTGACAGCATCAAAGTATTTACTTGAGTTACACTCTTTATGTTGAGCTATTTACTAAAAATTCCTATTCCCTAAGATGTTAGCTTATTGTACCAGAACTTATGAGAACAAAATATTTTTGTATAAAAAGACATGTATAGCTATTAAAAAAACCAAACCATGTGGTTTGAAACAATGGTACGTTTGTATGGTAGCTTTACTGTCACACCTACCATGCTCTGTGAGTCTACAGTAATAACAGTTGTAATTAAAACACTGTTTTGCTGGAATTTATTTAATGCATAGCAAAATATTTTATGAAGTAGTGAATTACAAAAAATTGAAATACTACTCAAATCCTTTCCAATCAACTGAGAACCAATTCTTCTTTCTAGACAAAGTAGCAACGTAAGAGAACTATATTTAAGAAAGTTCCCTTTATGTAATTCTGACAAAATCTGTATTATCTTGATAGGTACAAACTAGATTATGAAGGATGAAGTGTTTCAAGAGTATGAAATTATTTGCTCAGTGTTTATAATCCAGATTTATTTAATGATTTTTTTAATTCTAGCAATAGTCTGTTTATCTGCATTTATTTCTAAAGTTTCAATGGGGTTATCAGTTATGTAAACATTTTTCACTCATTTTATATATAAAAAAATCCAAATCATTTATGAACAGTTTCTTAAATTCCTTTTCTGTGCCTGATATAAAAACAACTCTTCCATGTTTCATTGAAATAGCACTGCCTTTCAGAGGGCTCTTTAGTGATAGCCCAGGTGAGAAGGCGGGGAAGGGACCTCATTCTAGTCTTTACTGCAGCTCTGATTTGAGAGTTGTTTAGTAAAGATGTGATCCGTGTTTGCTGTTGGTGCTGTATTTTCTAGATCACATTTTAGTATGTCATTACATGTTACAGATTACTTACTAAAAAGAAATAGAGCATGCTGAAAACTGAAGGGCTTTCGTTGTTGTTTTTCTAGCCGTGACACCTGTTGTGTAATATTGCATATTGCCTTATGTAATGAATCCTAGGTCTAGTTTTTCACGTGTTCACTGTTGAGGATGGCGACCAAGAAGCATGACTTCTGGTGGGGTCTTGGACAGAAGTGATTTGTAGCCCTTCTGACTTAACAGATGCCTTTTAGGGTTGTTGCAGTCTTAATGGCACTTCAGACTCACCAAGAAGACTGTTTGGTTTGTTTATTTCTGTGGCATGAACAAAGCTGCTGCAGCTGACTCCTGAAGCAGTTAATTAGCCCTGAATAACTCCTGGAAATAGGTTATGGTGTTGCAAGAGGCTTGTATTCTGAAGCTGGTTATGTGTTCTTTGACTGCCAGGAAGAGGAAACACCTGTGCTCCCTGAAAGGGGTGACGTCGTTTGATGACAGAAGATGCCAGAGGGATCTTCCTTAAGGGTTTTGCCAAGCTCCCAGCAGCATCTGTCTTTTTTTTATCATGAATAATACTTTGAGTTGCAACTAGAAAAATATATGTTTAGTTATACAGGGAAGTTGTGAGCTCATAGCAACTTGCCACAACTAAGGCAGTATATTACTTTTTACTTCCTCAAACAAGAAATGTGCACATCACTTCAAAGGCTGACAGAATTTGTACCATTAATTAATCCAGTCTGGGAAGGTCTGAAGTCATGTATTATTTGGTTCTATATTTTGAAGGCGGGACTGCTCTCACTGGGCTGCTTTATATGGAAAATCCACAATAGAGATGAAACTTGCATTGGAAATGTGTAGTAGTAAACAAATAAAATGAGTTCGAGTGCTTCTTCCATATACTAGTGTTACCCACAAGAAGCATATCAGGCACGTGCACAGTTTAATGAAGTTAACAGTTTCCAACGCTTTGTGTCATTCAAGCATTTGAAAGGCTCCTTCACCAGAGGTGCAGCCATCCTTTGGGTCCTGTATTCCCCATGGTCAGGGTGTTCTTGTTTGAAACTGATAACTTGGAATAGTACATTGTACCATCAATTGGGAGAGCATGAAATGTTGAAACAAATTTGTCTTACAGCTACTCACAGGGATTTCTAAATTTCTACTTTCATTGCTTGCTGTAGTTCAGGGTCTTGATGTTCATAAGGGCTGGCATCATCAGCTTATTAGTGAGTGTCCCCAGTTCAGACTGTGCCCTCTTCTATACACTGTTTCTTGTTAGTTTCCCCTCCCTTGAGAGGGAAGTGTGCTTTTGATTTTATTTATTTATTTAACTTGAAATGGAAACAATTTTCCCTTGAACTTTTCACGCTATTAGCACACAACAACATCCACAGCTACTGGCAGCAAAGTTAGTGTGCAGCCGATGGTGTTTCCTTATCTTTATCACATTTACAGTCTCTCAGTTTTATGCAGGCAGTAACTGTTCTTATTTTTTAGAGACAAGAGTGGATGAAGGAAAAAAAGAAGTAGAATGCAGAAAAAATGGAATTAAAAATAGATTTAAAAACCAAAATGTGCCTCTGCTTATACATGTATGAAGTATTGTAAATGAACTTCCCTAATCAATCAAAATTGGAACTGGTTGAAGACAGTGCAGTGTTGCTTGATGTGCACGTAACTTACGCACAGTAATTTACCTGACAACCAACAACAGCAATTATAGACTTGTAAGATACAGGAGTCTCAGAGGAGTATCAAGGCTTGAGATTTGCAGCAGAGTAGCAAATACATCCTTTTGTTTGCTCCTTTGATATAATAAAAAGTTTTATATTTTGAGGGCATTTCAATTTTACTCTTGTCTATAAACTCTCAAATAATTATGTTGTGATAAATATTAATGCTGGTATAAATAGATGCAACTGGAGTGATGTGAGTTAAGTTAATCTTGCCTGTTGCAAAGTAAATGTTACTGGAAGTGTGTCACATAAATCTGTTCAGTTCTGAGTTGTCTTAGCTAACTGTAAATTAATCAGTGCAAATGGAAGAAACAGTCTGTTATTATGAAAAACCATAAAAATTAATTTACTCTTGTGTCAGGATAGAAGACTGACTGTTCAGTATTCTGTGTTTCCATGGTTAGGCTGCCTCCAGCATCTCGGCCAGTACTGCTGGTTCCACGCTGTAATGGCTACGCGGGTACGCATCTGCTAATTCAAGTAGCAGAGACAGCCTGAGGAAAGCTGGGGTTTTGTTCCTATTTCTGCTGTGATCTGTGCTATCAATTCAGTATGCTCTATTTTTCTCAAATCTTACTTTCTATTTCTATCAATTTTTCTAGTCTAGTTTAAAGTTCTTTGGGACCATGTTTCTACAGTACCTTGATTTTTTGCTTAAATGTTTCCAAGTGTTACGGAAGTGGAAGTAACACTTCACCCCCGGTGTGTGTTTTCTTTTCTTTGAGGTAGAAAAGACTGGAAACAGAGGTGTATTTTCTAATAATATTTTTAAAATATAGCTTAAAAATGCATTCATGTAATGAATATTTCACTTGAAAGATTAATGCATTACCTGTGTGCAGGGTATGGCCCCATCATTTTCCTGCTTCTTGTGGTACACTATCTTTCTTCAGCACTAAGTATGTGTCTGTTTTGAAAAGTGGCTAGTTGTTGGAGCACAGAAGATGTCTCTGAAAATAACGATGCTAATCTGAAATGGACAACCTCTTTTTATTTAAAAGTAAACTGAAGTGTAACAATAGAAGCTGATTTAAGGCCTAAATTCTCCTGTGGATGCTCTTGCTACTGAGACTATAGAAAGCCTCTGTTGCTGAAATAAACCAAACCCAACAAAACTAAAACCTCTTGTGAGTTAAGAATTAAGGAAATAATTCCATAGAAGATAGGATCAATGCATTAATCTATATTGTACATTAGTGGACAGGTTCCTATTTTTATGTCTGAGAGATATTAGGGATTTATTTTCTTACATATAGGAGGGAACAAGAAGGTGGGAAGAAAGCTGAGTGAAAAGGGTAAGAAAATTGAATTGTGCGTTGTAAAGCTTTGCTCTTTGACAGCTTTTAGTAAATAACAGAAGTTGTCTGCCCCGACTGTTTATTTTCTCCCAGTTCTGGAAAGTTATTGGTATTCTGCAAAAACAATGATTTCAGTAGAGACTTGTCAGTTAAAACTATGCTTAATTAATCAAATTATTTTTTTCTTTATAATTTATGATTGCTTTCTAATGGTAACTTTAATTAAAGTTGTTTCATTTTTAATTCCTTTTGTTGGAAGCTTTTTATTTTAAGTAAATGGATTGACAGAACAGTAAGGTGACAGAATTGTATGAAATATTCTTTGTTGTCTAGAATTGTTGATGCAACCTACATTGAGTCCTGTTGTAAATGAACTTTAATGGAAAAACCCATTGGTTTCATTTTTCTTGTAATGTATGGTAACTTAACACTAGTTCCTTTTTTTTTTTTTTTGTGATTGCAGCTTGATCTTTGCTGTTTTTTAATATTTGTGCCCTTCCTAATACTAGTTGGGGTTTTTTTTTTCCCTTTAGGTTACCAATATCACCATCCCTCCAAGATGAGTAACAGCCATCCGCTTCGTCCTTACACAGCTGTGGGTGAGATTGACCACGTTCACATTCTGTCAGAGCACATTGGTGCTCTAATGAATGGGGAAGAATACAGTGACGTTACCTTTATTGTAGAAAAGAAACGTTTTCCGGCACACAGAGTGATCCTGGCTGCGAGGTGCCATTATTTCAGGTGAAGTATAGCTTTTTGTCAGGCTTACAGGAAATTTTCATGCAGATAAGATAAACATTGTTTCTCTATGAACTTTTCAGGGTGTAATCATCTGTCCATTGAGTGTGACCTTTTCTGTGTGAATGTTTCCCAGCCCATCAAATCATTGTGTCCAAATATAAAAAGATAAATACCATGTCATGATGTTATTCTTTTGACCTTCATTAAATTGGATTTTGAAGGTAGTTTCACAAATTCAAGAGAAACATAACTTCAGAACAGAATAGTTCTGCTATAAAATTGTTTTGATTTCTCAGTATGGATGGTGTGCTTCTATGGAATACACTCAATTAGAAAGTTTAATTTTGACAAGTTTGAATTAAGTATTTAAAGTGATCTGGCTTATACAGGTTAGACATCTTAAAACTAGGAATAATACTAATACAACTGTTTTAAGAGCCAGGTGTTTTTCAATCTAAATGTAGTTAATAGAACTTCCTGATAGTCTTCTTCCCATCAGTTTTGTCAGAGGGATAAGCTAATAACTAAATTAAAATATGATAGACAGCTTGAACACAATTTGCTTGCACACTTTAAAAAATAAATGTTGAGTACTTTGGTTTTTTTCAAGATTCAGGGTTTCATTGGAGTTGTCACATGCTGGGTTTAGAGTAAGGAATAGGGAATCAAGAATCCTGAGACTTGCTAATCTACCTCTGCTGTTACAGTGGCAAACTATTTGTTTCATTTGGTTTCTGAAAGTTTTTCTTTTTTTCTTTCTCATGGATAGCACTATATTTTAAAAAATAAAGGTACGAGAATCATATCTCAATTTCTGCTTCGCAAGCTGTTACTTGAAGTGGAAATGGAGCAATAGTTGTGTAGGATAAAAACACGATGCATAAGAATATTATTCTTGTGCAGCTGCTTTCAGAGCTGAGCTGCACTTTAAATAGGGAGTTTTAGGGGTATAAGGGGTTTTCTTTTGTAGATTCTTAAACCCTATCCCCTTTGTATTTCCCTTGCTGTAAATAGTTATTTATTACTTTCTGTTTCTACTTTTTTCCTGTTTTTTATCAGGATATAAATTCCTCCAATTTTATTTTTCTTACAGAGCATTATTGTATGGCGGAATGAGAGAATCTCAGCCTGAAGCAGAAATTCCTCTTCAGGACACCACTGCAGAAGCATTTACCATGCTGTTGAAATATATTTACACTGGTCGTGCTACACTACGAGATGAGAAAGAGGAGGTGCTCCTAGACTTCCTAAGCCTAGCACATAAATACGGGTTCCCAGAACTGGAGGATTCCACCTCTGAGTATCTTTGCACAATACTTAATATTCAGAATGTCTGTATGACATTTGACGTTGCCAGTCTTTATTCCCTTCCCAAATTAACTTGTATGTGCTGTATGTTCATGGATAGAAATGCCCAAGAGGTGCTCTCCAGCGAAGGCTTCCTGTCGCTTTCTAAGGTATATATTTTGTTTGGATTTTTTTTTCCCAGGAATGTTAATTTTAATCTGTATCTTCATGATAAGTTTACGTGGTAGTTAACAGGTATCGTTTTATACTAGTGAAACTGTGACAGTTGGAAACGTTCAAGCCAAGCTGAACTGAAAATCCTGACGATCTGTTCTAAATTTTTTAGATCTAATTTTGACCAGTCAGTATAGCTAAGCATAATAAATCTGATGGAGTATTCTAAAAGGTGGGAGCAGGCAATCTAATCTTAATTCAGCTTTTTTCATCTTTCTTGAAAAATGTAATTTGGCTTCTGAATGCTGCTCAACATTCAGTAAAGATTTGAAGATAGCAGAAGATACCCTGTTCCATTAATTTCATGATACAGGCTGCCTCAGTGATGGGTGATTGCCCACTGTAAGCTAAAGCATTCTGGAGGTTGCTATGATTTATGTTGCTGAATGTCGTGATGTTCTGAAATTGCATAATATGGTGGTGTTGTAGCGTGGTTTTGGGGTTTTTGTGTGTTGGTTTTGTTGTTGTTAGATACATAAATATTTGTGTCTGAGTCAGAGTGTTCTATGACATTGAATATTTCCACTTGCTCTGGGGTAGTCTTTGAGCTGGACGTAATAGTGATAGAGTGTTTTCAAGTGGTGCTCACATGAGGCATCTTGAATGAATGATAGCTTAATTATTATTTTTTAAAAATGTTTTTAGTGGAAAAGCTATGATGGATCTATTCGTTGAATAAGTATACAAAGCACTCTGTTAACTTACTAGTTGCGTAGGGAAAAATGTTTTTTTTCTTTCTACTGTACTGTCATGTGCAGTTTGTTATAGCTGAGCTCTAAGAGTGTATTATCAATGAAGAAATTAGCAAACGTCATTAATTGGGAAGCACATACTTTATGACATCTTTGGCATACACAGTAACAATATATATGAGAGATTTATCCTTTTTGTAGGCAAACTCCTAATTATTCTGCTAGCTAAGTGAAAATCAAAAAGTTCTTAAATTCCTTTTGTTCTCATTTTGCAGTCAGTGGGTTTTCTTCATGAATAAGAGCCATTGAAGTTTTTACCTGTTGATTCTAAGTTTGTACCAAAAAAGAGAGAGGAGGAGGGTGGAATCCTAATTAGTTAGAAATGGTTTAAAAAGGTGATTCCAAGCCACACTTTTCTCATCGGTGTTCTTATACCAGCTGCAAGTTAAAATACCCATTAATTTTTGCCTTATTTAATTTCCTTTTTTTCTTTTTAAAATAAATTTAACTTTATTACTGTTTATTTGGGATTTTTTTTTTTTTTCTTCTTTAGGCTGCTCTCCTAAGTATTGTGCTGAGGGACTCATTTGCAGCTCCTGAGAAGGACATTTTCCAAGCTTTGATGAATTGGTGTAAACATAACCCCAAGGAAAACCATGCCGAAATCATGCAAGCAGTACGTTTGCCACTAATGAGTCTAACAGAACTACTAAATGTTGTAAGACCTTCTGGATTGTTGTCACCTGATGCCATCCTAGATGCCATTAAGATTCGTTCTGAGAGTCGGGACATGGACCTCAACTACAGGGGCATGTTAAGTAAGCATCGGGTTTTTTATTTGTTCGGGTCTTTTTCTTATTTAGTGACCATTGTCCATAGGATATGGTTAATTTGTGCTTTGAGGTTTCATCTGTTATTATGTGCTTAAAAGGCTTACATAATGAAATATCTTGTTATGTACTGTTCTTGCCATTTCTATTCCTCAAATAATATTAGTCAACATATTTTCTCAGACATTGCTCAAACATGAATGTTGTAATAAGAGTATATTTTCCTTGAGGAAGTGCTATTTTAATAGAAAAACTCCTGCAAAAACATTACAAATGTGATCTATATCACATGATATTTGTATGATATGATATTGAAATAAAAACATAGATATAAACAGAATAAATATAACATGTTGTAATAATATAATATTTTAACTTAATATATTTATAATATGCTATTACATATAATAATTTGTAATGGAGTATATTACAATATACAATGTATTTATATTTATATATAAATATAATAAATAAAACAAGGTATATGATATTTAAATGGCTTTATGTTGATGGTGACTTGTTTTCTACTTCATGAAGATTTTCATCTTTTCTTCACGACTTTTGATTTTTCTCTTACTCTTTACATGCTTGCCCAAATACTATAAACACATTTTCCAAAATTATAGTAATGTAAGCTTAGAAAGTATGAGAAGCCTTTTGTTTGACTCTTGTCTGTGCTGCCTCTTAGTGCAACAAGAATATCTAATATTGAGCTTTAGAAAGATATACTTAGTTTGCTATTTAATGTATGATTTATAGAAAGTATTTACCCCACAGGAAAGAATTAAGCTGAATGTATCTCCTCAAACAAGACTGTTAAATGCTTTTTTAAGAGAGGGTTCATCAATGTATTGTTTTTGGAGTTAGGTATCATTATCTCCAGTTTTCTTGATGGAATGTCTGTTCCTAGGACATAATAGATTTATTACTGTGAAATGATGGCGTAGAAAACTTGCTTCACCATGTTGGTTCAAAGCCCAAGTAGCCAAAAGTTTCCAATTTCACTCTGATTGTTTAGCTTTGCAGAGTACTGCAAGTTTGTATAGCCAGCCAAATAGCTTGTATAGCCATGCCACTCTGTATACCACTCTGCAAATTCATGATGCTTCTACATCTTGAGCATTTTGTGATCTTTAGTTTCCTTCCACTTCAAACAAACAAACAAAAAAACCAGTTGACATTTGAACCAAAAAATGGAGAAGAAAGGGCAAAAAAAGTGAGAGATGTGGTGAAAGGCTAATCACAAGGAGAGACTAAATAGACAAAAAATTTAAAACCATGAGGAAAGTGATGAATGAATCAGGAAGGTGCAATAAAATTCTGGAAAATAATGGAGGGGACTGAGAATATAGATACTAGTTACTAGTAAATTATCACTAATTATTACTACTAAATACCTAGGGGCATCAAATGAAATGGAAGAAGCAAAATTTCTAAAATACCTCTTTTTTTGTAGTTCTGTTTTTCCTTGACCATGTGTTTGGGCAAGAAACACTACTGTCAATAAGTCTTTGATCTGTCCTAATACAGTTGATATTCAGAACATCTAATTTGCAGGTTCTTTTAATTTTTTTTTTTTTTTTTTTTAGTACCAGGGGAAAATATTGCAACAATGAAGTATGGAGCACAGGTTGTAAAAGGGGAGCTGAAGTCTGCTTTATTAGATGGGGATACTCAGAACTATGACTTGGATCATGGCTTCTCTCGACACCCAATCGATGATGACTGCCGTTCTGGAATTGAAATTAAACTAGGCCAGCCGTCAATAATCAACCACATACGAATACTCCTGTGGGACAGAGATAGTCGGTAGGTGCCAAGTGGACATAAAAGGGGATGGTAATGCATTTAGTACTGGTCGTAATATGTCAATGTGAAATATTCATTAAATATTTTATAAAATGTCATGGTCTGGGCCGAATTGGCCAATCCAAATTACAGATGACACTTCCCCCCTGCCAAAGAGAGGAGAGGAAGAGTTAAAGAGATTTACTAGTTTAGAATGAATGAAACCACTTTAATGAAATACTAATATTAAAATAAAACAGAAGAAATAACGGAATAGATACAACATATACAAAACTGTATCAAGCTTCCAGGATGATGTCACCAGTGGGCACTGGGGAAGTCCCAGACTGGACTCGGTGACAGATGGGAACTGGGTTCCAGCCCTGGAGTCAGGAACACATGGGTCGGGATCAAAGGCAGATGAACAGACAGAGTCCTCTTCGGACATCAGCCATTGAAGAAAGAGACTGACGCTTTGATCCTTCAGTCTTTATACTGAGCATGGGGCAGATGGGATGGAATACCCCACTTGGTCAGGTTTGGGTCCCTTGTCCTGCCCACTCCTCCACACAGGTGGGACCCTTCTACGCTTTTTCTGTTTCCGACCCTCCAACAGGGCAAATAACAAAATTGGCTGACCTTGGTTGTTATAGCAATAAATATAAGCAAGAGCCTCTCTGCATACCGTTCCTTGGCATGAAATACAAACATTGGTCTTATCACTCTGAGAACGAACAGTTTTCTTCACAATATGCTGTTAATTTCAGAGAGTTAGAAAATGCCTAGCTAAGATGTAACATTACTGACCAGAAAGTTGGTTATGTTTTACCTCAAACCAGGACATAAAAAAAGCATGATACAGTGTTGGAAATGAAAATTACAAGCTTTGTTTGAAAAAACAGTGTTTTTTTTAAATGCAGTTTTGGTTGCTTACACACCACACCATATTTTCTGATACTAAACTACCTCATGATATTTCAGTCCATTTTTTGTGTCTTCATTAAATAGTTTATATTACTCATGAAAGTTAACATAATTTCAATTGTTTAGTTTTCTATTTGCCACTTAGTTTTTAACTGATTTTATTTCAGTTTGAAAAACAATATTCTAGTTCTTTTTCAGAGACCATATTTTGTACTTAACTTCCATTCCAAACCTTGAAGGAATGTTTGTTCTGATTTTTTCAATATATAAAAATATTAAGAAATGGCACACTTTAACAATAATTCAGATAGTCCATAATTCACATTCTAAATAAATTTTACTAACTACTGGAGTTATTAGAAGCCACTTCATGGTGAGACCAATGAAGTGTGAACTTTCATGGATGCCTTAGCCATTTCATGCTCAACTACTTTAGATTGTTGCAGAATGCATGAAAGATCAAATTATGCATATTTGAAAAATTGAGTTACAGTCTAAGTAGGAAAGGTTCTTTTTATCTGACAAATTGAATATATTAATTTTATAACTTGCAATGACAAAGATTTTACATTTAGCAGAGAGCTCATGCAGGTATTCATCAGCAATTTTCTAATAAAAACAGTTAAACAAGCTACTTATACTTTTAACACATCATTACCTTTCTGATAAAAGATTAATTTTATATTACTTCCAGAATAACGGTTTAGAATTGCAAAACAGTTGAATTTTGTTTTCTTAACCAAACCATGACACCATGTTATTTTAGAAGAGATTGTACTAATGTTTTATTGATTTTTATTTTTATTTTTGTAAATTATTTTAAAAATATTAATTACAGTTATTAATCATTCAAAACAACCTGCCTGAATTTTTAGCTATTTAATTGTTGCAAGTAATTTCTGACTCAGTTCAACTGAAATTTACGCTACTCCTCAATTCCTTTTAGAGAGATTGAAAAGTAAAACTTCAAAGGTGCAAGGGGCTACTTCATACAGTAATATACTATTTGTCCCAGAAGATCAACTAAATTTATAAACCAATTATCAATCAATTTTATAAAATTTGAAAAAGTATTAGAGACATATTAATAATGAGGAGTTCTCTAGCAATTTTTAGGGGGCTTGTAACTGGTAAAATACCCCTCATCTGCAAGGCAGAAATCATCACCTGTTGAAACTTGGGGAAAAACCCTTCTCATTGGGACAACTTAAAAATCTTATCTGCTTGGTGCCCTATGCCATTCCTCTGAAATTTGTAGAACAAACCATTTTTGGTGGCAGAATATCAGACAAAGTCATAAAATCACTCTAGTTTGGAAAAGATCTTTAATATCATCAAGTCCGGCCATTAATCTAGCACTGCCAAGTCCACCACCAAACCACATCCCTATTTTTTTAGATGGACCTCTATTCTGGAGTTTTCTGTCTTCATAAGATACTGAGGGTACAGTGGTTTAGGGTCTAGTTTCTGTGTCATCCTGACTTTCTTATTTTTCTGTGGAAAGTTTGCTATTGGACTTTCTTTTGCTGCTTGCCTGACCTGAATTGTTAGGGTTTTTTTTCCCCTTAGTAGCTCAACTGGAAAACGAAGCATTTGGAGTGCTATATCCAGTCGTGGGCTCCTGAGTAAAAGATACTGACACACTGGAGTGAGCTTAGGGCACCAAGACAATGAGGGCTTGAGTGCATGATGTACCAGGAGATGCTGAGAGAGCTTGCTGTTTTAAGAGGAGAAGGTTTAGAAGGGGGAACTGAAATATGCAAGGGCTAGTAATAATAATGTTGCTGAAACAGTGTATTTCTTTAAAACAGTTGTGAATATTGCACATCTGGTTGGTGTGAATGTGAAAGCTGATTATGCAATTCGCATCTTGAAGGCTCTGCATTACCTTTTGAAGTTCGTAAATTGGTATTAACAGTGTTATCTAACGTTTTAAGAATTTTTAAACAATATCAGGTTAGATGTCTACCCCTCTAAATCCTTGGCAAAAAAATGGAAATATTAAGGGCATTAATGTTTAACAAAGAACATTTGTGTAGAATTCTGGAAGAGCAACTCTTCTTTGAGAAATAGATGTGAAAGGAGGGTAAGTGCTAACATGGTGCTGTTGAAATGCCTGTGAATGTTAAGTGAAAGAAAATACTCTGAAACATATTTCACAATTTGCTAAGCCGCAAGTGGAGTTTCTACTTCCTCCAAATTATTACTATTGTAGGTGTTATATGGAAATAGTTTTAGTTTGGGTTTGCTTTCTTCTGACATCGCTGTAAGCTAAATCTAATTGATAAGCAAGAGGAAGACACAGATTGTGTTGGTGACTCTTTTTTTTTTTGATGAGGTAATTTTAGGGTGTGGAAGTAGTGACAGACTTAACAATGTGTTGTAAACAACTGAAATGGTCAGAAGTGAAGAAGAGCATCAGTGAGACAATGCTTATGAAGTAAATCTGCTTTAATCAAGTGAAGGGTTTGAATTTGTAATTTTGATCTGCTACATGCTTCTTGATTTTTCTTTCTTGATATGCCAATAGAAATAATAACTGTGTCCCTGGTGTTTTAGATTTACTCCATACAGAAGGAATGCAAATGATTATGACTGAGTCTCCATTACATTTTTTGAGGGTCAATGGTCTCGTCTAGTTACTGCAGATTGTGAGTGTTAGGATGTTTTAAGTCATTCTGAAAATGGGTCTTAACGTAGCTGCTTGTTATACAGGTCTGTGGGTAGGAAGAAATAGCCTTCTTATCAGCATAACTGAAAATCCAGAAGAAATAATGCCCAAGATGTATCTGCTTGTATTCTAACCAGTTTTTTTGACAATCCATAGGTCTTATTCCTACTACATTGAGGTGTCCATGGATGAGTTAGACTGGATTCGGGTTATTGATCACTCTAAATACCTCTGTCGGTCCTGGCAGAACCTGTATTTTCCTGCCCGTGTCTGCAGGTTAGTTCATCAATGTAAAGTTTCATGGCTGTCATTAAATAATTTAGACACCAGAATAAGTTGGTGAATTTTGTATTATGTATTTCTGATAATGTATGATATACACAGTCTTCATCAGCTATCTTAAAAAAAAAATAAATTTGTCTGTGTTTTTTTTTAATATAAATATAGGTGATAAATTGCAGGGATCCTGTTTTGAAAACCCTGGTGCTTCCATCTCTAGCTATGTATCTTTCTCCTTTTCTCCTGGCTTTTTTTTTTTTTTTTTCTTTTTGAGTCATACTCACTTTTCTTCTTGCAGCTGATGTGGTTTTTTTCACTTAGTAGTAAACATCATTTCTTGTCTGCCAAAAGGTTTAAAATGTGTTTATGTACTTACTATAAAGCTTGGAAATATGTTTTGATATGATTCGTATATTTCCTGCTGCTGCATTGAAAGAGTGTTTTAAACAGTTGTGAAAGAGAGGAAGGAGAGAGTTAGGAGTAAGAAGGTTTGAGCAATGATGTGTGTAAACCAAAGCAGCTGGATGAATGTCATTATTTATTTATTATTTAGTTATTAGGGTGATGATGTCTTTTTACTGAAAGTGCTGGGAATTCTGGAAGAAGCTTATGATCGCACTGAAGCTGTCTTATCCAAAAACTGAATTGAGGTCATTGACAGAAAGGCCACAGTGTGTAGATTCTGAAGATGTTATCATCATTAGGTTTTGCGTCATAGACCCAAAGAGGAAATGCCCTGTATTGTGATAATTATTCTGTAGACACAAACTTTTTAATCAGTACAGCAATTCTTGGAATTCCCAAGGAGGGAAGTGCTTTCTTTTCCCCAAAGAATGACCTTTTTCTGTGATCTTTACTGCTTCAGAACATGGGACTGCTGGGAGACAGTGGTTCTGGGAAAGAGTGTGGAGGGGGTGTCACTTGTGTCTCTCTCAGGTAACTCTTTCCCAGCTTCCCTGTACTTTTAATAATACTGAATGTAACTGACTTGAAATATATTTTTCCTGATACAAACAAATGCGTTCTCACCTTTTCCCTTTAAGTTTTATGATTTTGACGTTAGTGGTTTCTCATTCTGAAATGGTTGGTGCTGTCCCCTAGTGTGTGTGTGTGTGTATGTGTCTGATACATTTTTGCTTAAAGATGTCTGTGCTAAATCACCTAGCAATGATGAAATGCCTCGTGGAGTTTATAGGTGTTTTACATTTCCTGGGAATATTCTTGTGTGTGTGAACTTAACTTGGTGCAAAGTGGAGGGATTGTTAGTAAGCACAGCTTTTTTGCTTCCATCATGCTAGCAAGAAGATTTGAAGAGAATTTAGGGTATTATGGTGGGACTTACTTTATTGTCTTTCAAAAGGGCAGCTATCCTTTGGCCTTATCCAAAGACTTCTCCAAAAGTGAGTTTTCTACTTCAACATCAGGTTCTCCACAGCTGGGCACAGCTGTCTTCATCTGTGCGTGTGTGTGCGCTGTTTTGAGAGCATTATTGCTCTGTTTTGGTGAAAGCTTTTTTTCTCTGGTGAAAGCAGAGAGCGAAGAGTGGAGGGGAGTATGTTATTCCAGAATTTTAGTTGGTACCTTACTGATTTTTTGGGACGTAAGGACCTTTTGTATATTCTAGCTCTTTGATGATCTCTTAATCCTCTGAAAGTGAGTGGCCCTCTGTTGGAGGAGCAGATTCTAAGCAGGCAGTTCATTTCATGTGATGTTTTTGTATGCTACTTAAATGCATCCACAAACACACCTGGAAACCTCTCCCTTGCAGTTATTTGAAGTTGTCCAGGTAACTACAGCACAGATTTCCTTATCGCATAGTCCTCATGCTCTCATTTTCCCTCTGCTGCTCAATAATCCCTAGTAAACCTGTTATTCTCTATAAATCTCTGTTTCTCATTATCATATCTACAAAGTGATGAGGGAATTCCCTTGAGGTGCAGCTACTTTGAAGAATGAGCGAAAAAGCTAGTGAAAGTCATGTAGCAGCATAAGTTTATGAGTACTTATTGTTAAGGAGCAGTAACCTTAAGGCAATATGAGTTCTCAGTTGTGAGTCAAGATGATAATTCAGAGTGGTTTAGATAAAGTTGTTCTGTAATCTCTCTTCACGTCAGTGAATTGAAGCCTGCATTATATTAAAGGTGCTAGTCAAAAGTTAAAGTACTGTGACTAGAATTTACTCTTCTTATTTTTCTTTCCTGTAAATAATAAGAAAAATATATTTTAAATGTGACTAGAAATATAAAATTACTGACAATTTTTGAGGAGTTCCACTTCAAGAACTTTGTATTTATTTATTTGTATTAATAAGTCCAACTTGAAGGTTGGCCCTGCTTTAATTAGGGGTTTGGACCAGTTAATCTCCACAAGAGAAACTTTGAGTGGAGGAGCCTATATACAATACATATTAGTATTTGTTAGTTTTATTTATCTGGCTTTTAATTAATATTCTATATAGAAAGAAGTAAGCAAGGAGGACTAGATTTTTTTTTTCTGTCTCTAATTTCAGGTTTTTGTGATTATCTATTTAAAAAAAAAATGTATTTACTTAAATGGGTTAAACTAGTTATCTCTAGGATACTAACATACACAAAAAAATTCCTAAAATATGTAGCAGCTTTTTGTCATCTAAAAAGAGATCATCTCCAGTGTTGTGACCACAGATTTAAAATATGAGCTAATATGAGATTATTTCAGAATGTATTATTTTAATATTTGATATTCTGTTTTTACAGATAAACTATGCATGCTTATCAAAGGGCAGATATGTTTTAAGTGTTTTACATGTGCTCTGTTTAGAAAGAAATTGTTACCAGATTATCAACAGGTAATGAAAAAAATCCAATTTATTTCATTTGAAGATGTAAACGCTTGCCCTGACTCACATTTATTAGCACTAGGTTAATCAATGCATTCTTTACATCCAAAATTAGTTATGTTTTTATATTGCTCAGCAGTGCTTCTACGGTGTACTCTTGAGTCAGTGTGATAAGTCCCAGTGCCAAAATTTTCCTGTTCGTGGACAAAAGTACTGAGTGAGGAATGCATTGCAAGTATCATGCTCTGCTCTGTCTTCTTGCCATTGTTTTTAACATTTATTCCCCTTTTGTCTTAGTAATGCAGATAATAATCTCTTTGCAAGCAACCGCTTAGGGAACCATGCAAGAAAATTTTTTTTTAAAGGTTTTTGTACGTTGTCAGTAGAAGATGCTGGAATAAATATCTTTTCACAGTGTGGTTTCTTACCAGTATAGATTTGAGATAGCTGATGGTTTGTGGTTGTTTTTTTGTTTTGTTTTCTTTTGTTTTGTTTTCTTTTGTTTTGTTTTCTTTTGTTTTGTTTTCTTTTGTTTTGTTTTTTTAATTTAAAAAATTAGATTTTACCCCAGAGTGCTTTGCAGCATCACTGTATAGGATGAGTGTTACTACTTCTTGAGTAGTAATGGTGAATTGGAGACAGGGGTTATTGGCTGTGGGTTTTATTTTCACACCTTGTTTCAAAGCAAAGGAGTAGAACATGCCAGATTCTGTACAAGTTGTTGAAGGACAGCCTGTTTGTGTCTGATAGTCTAGAGCAATTGCTCAAATATAGGTTATAAAGAGAATACGAGCTCTGTAACATTAGGCAAGGTTAGATGCTTTTTTTGAGTTACCTTTCACATAAATATTAGTTTTGCAAGGTGAGAGCTGTCAAGCGCTGAACTAATGTCTTCACCTGAGTTTTAGGAAGCTATTCAAACATTTCCATGGCTATAAAAATTGATGGAGTGTATCTTTTATTTGCATGTGTGCAGGTTGGTTTATTTGTTTGTTTGCTTTTTTGGAAACCTTTCACTTTTCTCATTAAGCCAATGTATCCATTTTCAAATCTACAGTCAATGCTTCTTTTACGCAAGTTGGGTGAAAAAAAATGCAAGCTTTGACAGTTATTTGATAAATAAAATAAGTAATTTATATCACAATGAGTTAAGACCAGTTCAATCTCCCTAGCAAGTAATTTGTCGTATTATATGTGTCGTAGCCTCTATCGTGACTTTTTTTTTTTTTGTTACATGGAACACTGTGGAATATTCACAATAGTGTTAGTGTTAGGGGCATTATTGTGCTTTTTATGAAAGCTAATTTGTACTTGGCAAAGCATGTACCAAGCCATCCAAACTGATTAGACAGAATCAAGTAACTAATGTGATAAGACTATTTACACTCTTTTCTTCTTCCTGTTCATTACTTGTGTGCTCCACTGTACATTTTTAATAGGTTCAGAATAACTTTTGCTGGCCATAACCTTTGTCTAGATTAATAGATGGAAAATGTAAGGGCAGTAAAAAAAAGACTCTGAAATTCTATAACAAAAACGAGATGGGAAGATTGTTTATGCTTTTTCACAGACAGAAGATGATTTATTTGCGATTTGCAGGATGAATCCCTGTGGAAGATGTCCCTGCCTGTGGTGGGGGGGACGGTTGGAACTAGGTGGTCTTCAAGCTCCCTTCCAACAAAACCATTTTATGATTCTTTCATTCTATAATGTAGATATGCAAGCTAATTTGTACAAGGAAGATTCTTTATTAGGCATTGAAACTTAGTATAACAGGTGAGAGAGTGTTGCTGTATTTTAAGGATTTTCTTTAATAGGAGAAAATGCTAGGTGTAATACCTGGGCTTTTTATTGATGTCATTGTATTTTAAAAAAACTTTTAATTTTTGCTTTAAATACTTTCAATATCCCACCACCTTTAAAAACTGAACAGCCTTACACTATGCAGAAGAAGCAAATTAGAGATTGGGATTACAGGGCAATTTTTTCTTTGTTAATGTGGTACTGAGTTTGGTATTTTTCTTTTTTTTAGAATTTCTTTTGGTCCTAGTTTCATTGTTTGCACTCATATAGCAATTTTCATCTAGAGCTGAAGAATTTCTTTAGAGGAAAAACAGAAGGTGGAAAATAGTCATGTAAGCAGGTTCCTGTCAGAATTAGAAATGAGTGTCGGGTTCAT